CTATGGTGAAGATGTATACTGATTGGGCTGGTGACGGCATGGTGTTGGCTAGAAGCTGGCGGAAGAAGGCACCCGCGTATGCGGTTGACGTCGGGATGAAGTTTCGTAGCGTCAATGGAGGTGGTGAGGGCATTGGAGCCGGCACATACTGGCTGTGAATGGCGGATAGGGTGGTGGCCTCTACCGCTGTGGAGGAGGGCTGTTGAGGAAGCAAGGCTGTGATGAACATCTGGTATGTTTGGACGGAGACTCGGAAGAAGAGGCAAGATAGTGGAATCACCGGCAAACCTAAACGGCGGGTCAGGTTCTGGTCTGCAAAGGCGTTGGTGTAGTAGTCTTTCGCCAGGATATCCAGGAACCGCCCGTAGATGGCTGGTCGTGTGTTGTTGAATTTGCCAATATAGGCATGTTTTAGCCAATCCACTAGCATTTCCGACCCTAAAACAACCAGGAACGGCCCTAAGACCTGTGCGAGTGTCGGCAAATACGTGTTCACTTGACTAAAGGACGCAATGATGGATGATGGCACAATGGTAAAGGCCTGTGGCAGGATGGATGAGGAGGTCCGGGGAGGAGTCGATAGGGGCGTGCTGTTTGTCCCCGTGGATGTGTATCCTCCAAGACTGAAACTCAAGCTACCAAGGGCGTTGAACGCTCCGGTCTCGACAAGGTTACGCGACGCGATGATGGTAAGCATCAACCAGAGCTGGAAGCGTTCAACCACATCTGCGCAGAGAAGTTGGAACAAGTTTTCCTTCTCGAATTTCTTGAAGACTGTGGACTTGATCTCGACAAACTGGTTCGAGAGCAGCAGAGTAATAAGCGCGTTCGAATACGAATTCACCGCGACGTTCAAGGTCATCACCTGATAAAAGAGGGCCGTTGCGTGGATGACTGTGTATGCCAATGCCAGCAAAAACAGTCCGAATGGTCGGAAGACCTTGCTGCGTCCGTCCGGGCGACGCTCGAGAGCTTCGCGCGAAAACAGACACTCAAGCACGTCTTGTCCAATGGCAGCGAATAGCCGATCGCTGACCTCTAGCACATTGTAGATAACATAAAGTTTGATCGCAGCCTGTCCTCGGATCCAGTGATACATCCGACTTGCATCGAAGCGCATTAACACACAGCAGGTAGCTATAATGAGCAGTCCTTTAAGGATGTCAGCCTTGTCATCTGGCATCAAAGCCGATGGGATGCTCTTCTGCCGCCGGTGCTTATGATGACGCTTGCGTGGTTCTGTGGCCCGATTGCGAGATTCTCGTTCCACTGACCCGTTCTCCTGCTTCTCAGAGGTGGACCTCCCAGGGTCAGCGATTTTCGAAGACTCGTCCGTCGATGATGCTCGGAGTCGCCTCCGCCACACTCGCCCAACACCTTTGAAAATGAATCCTGTCACATAACGAAACTCAACGCCGAGATTGACAGCCCAAGACTCCAAGAGAATGTACAATGCTTTGACAAAACGAAGAGGAAGAATGGTAAACGTATGCAACCAGGAATCGAGACACGCTAATATACCGAACCAGAGAACCCGTTCCAATGCGGGAGGCAACATCAAAAAGTTCATTAGGCGTTCAAGCTTGACTCGAGAAGATTCATATGGGAAATCGCTCATTGCAGAGCGATGAATGTATAGTGGAGACGGCCGACCTGAGGCCAGTTCTAATTGTAGGTATGTCGGAACAGACAACGGAGGGAGAGGAATGGTTGGGGGCATAGGGGACGGTAGAGCAGGCTCAGTGCCAGTGATGTGTGGCGACGGGGTAAGGTGCTTTCCATCTGACTCTCGGCTGAGAGAAGCGCGCTCTTGTTTCCCCCGAGACGTCCAGGTCTGCGTCAGTCGTTCGCTAGTCGTCGGCATGGTTTGCCGTCGCGAATTGGGAGTAGAAACAGCCCGAGAGCCTTGCGGCCGACTCCGAACAGGTTGCTTGGCTGCCGTTGCAGCAGAGACGTCGATAGCAAGATCTTTGTTGGGACGAAGTTTGGGAACGCTATCGCCGGTTACTTTCTGCTCGCTCGGTAGAAGAGTTGCAGATTGGTCAGGCTGCGATGGGGAGATCGCTGCATGCATGCCATCTGACACTGCACGTCGACCATGGTCTGATTCCGGGGGTGCTGCACGATAAGGAATAGACTGAGGGGATGATGCGAGTTCCTGCATCCTGGCCGGAGATAGCTTCACTACCCGCTCCTGCTCCTTATCTTGGTTCCTGACAGGTGATGTGTTTCGCGACCAGCGATGGAAGACGGAAGCCACGTCGGAACCTTCAAAAACATCCACTAAGGAGGTCCTTGGTGTCGTACGATGATCTGCACTGTCCGCACCCTCCAACGAGTGTTCGAAGACCATTCCTAGGGCCTGGTCTGATGGAAGTGCAGGCTGACCGCTTTTCTGGTCGCCGTTCACTGTGGGTTGGCTGGGGAACCTATTTAGTTCGTGGTCGCTGACAAGCGCACCAAACCGGTGTACAGCTTCCTCCCTATTGCTCCGCTCCTGAGTACTCATAGTATCCGATGTTGCTGATCCTCCACGTTGCATATTTCGGCTTAATGTGCCGTTGGCACGGTCCCCGCTATCCGCAGGACGCGATTCCATCGGTCTGCTTTGCTGAAGCTTCTCAATCCCTAAGCTATGACTCTCATGATCCATGCCGCTCGCATGTTCTCTCTTCCGGGGAGATACTGGCGCTTCCTGTCCGCCCGGTGCGGCAACATGGGCGATAGTGTCTGATGCTCGCTGATTGAGATGGCCGGGTAGTTCGTCCATGACTGATATCACTGACTATTAACCATTCTATAGCAGCGCTAATTGGGTATTAACGCTGGTGTCATTATCTGAAAGAGCCTCGAGGGATTCGTCGGCGGGGGTTGGGAAGAAGGCGAGGCCACGGTGGTAGGGGTGGATGATAGTGCCGAGCTGGCTGACTGCGCAACGCGACCAGCGGACCGAAGATTAAGGAGGATTCGGGATCATGCTGTGGGTAAAACTGCAGGCTGTCAATTGGATCCAAATAATACTCTGCCCTTGTTAGGTATGCAGATATCTAAAGTAGTCTTTCGCAGCGACGAAGTTGCTTATCGTGAAAACCAGAAGGAGACCCTGGAGGCTTTGCCTGCGATCCCCGGAACCCCAAGGCGGTCAGCAGCCTGTCATCCCCATCCTTCTTTTCGGTCTTCGGATTTAATCCCTAAGGCCGAGATCGATGAAACAGCAAAGTTGTGTCATTAACTAGTACGGAGTAACTAGTGCCTTTCACATTGTAATCTAACTACAGGTGTGCCGCTAGAGCATTATTGCTTCCTGCATTTCTCAGGGCCTCATCGTCAAAGGGAACACTCTTCGGTCTAGCAGGCAGATCGAGCATATTCAAAGACACGGCCGGGGTAAATGTATCCGCCTATCGTTTCCACAATGCTCCTGGCATCAGCCCTGCATACTTAGTAAGCAGAAACTCTTTCAGCTCCGGAGTATCCATTGAATCCAACTTCTGTCGTTGATGAGTGGTTTTGATAATATCAAAGGTGCGCGGCTCGCGGATGTCCTGCACTCGCTCGAACATCGACTGAATCTCCGCCTGGGAGAGCGGGCCTGAGCCCGAAGCCTGCGATAACGCTGTCATCAAACCATTTACCACAGCCGCGGCGCTTTCTAAAGCCTGATTGCCCCCTTGCGCGGTAATAGGGAGGACCTGTATCGATATCATCTATTAGTTAGTCACAGTATGACGCGGATAGTAGGGGGTTTGGTCTCCTCACCTTGTGGCAGGCGTCTCCAATGGTAATAATTCTTCCCAGGTGCCACTTCTTGTAGACAAACTCTGGAATGGGTGTATATGTTGTGCTCAACTGACGCTCGCAGAGATCAGACAGGCGAACATCTGGCGTGACCTGGTCATTCCAATGCTTTTGGAGCGTGCGCTGCTTATCTTCTTCAGTGAATTGGGGGATGTCAGCGCCACAGTATGTCTGCTTCATCTTCTTCATCAGGAACCAATAGACACGGTCAGCAGGACCAGCGCCTAGCACATATGAAAACCCTTCGTTCGTCACGAATTCAAGTGAGCGACTGGGGAAGCCTGCGACGGGATCAGACATCCCAAAGATACAACTGTAAGCGGCAGCAACCTCTGCATTATGCCAGATCGGTTAGAGAATATCACATCCTATCCATGGAAAAACAAGTGTGATGCTCAACTGACTGTCTTCTTCCGCATAATCCTTGCTCAGCCCAAGGACTTTGGCGTATCTAGCCATTTCCTGCCTCAGCTTGGAGTGGGTACCGTCCGTTCCAACGATAATATCGGCAGAGTACGTTGAGCCATCAGTTGTGACAACATCAACACCTTCGTCGGTATGCGTGACACTGGCCACACGCTTGCCAGGCAAAACCTTCGATTTGTCCGCAATGTTGTTGTACAAAACCTCTAGGAGAGACTTCCTATCCATCCAGACATAAGTATACCCATGCCTGTCATCTGGTAAGCAAATCATTCAACACTTGAGGGAGAAAGCACGAGGGACACACTTCTCAATACACGCCTCAGCCAATCCTTCGTCCATCCCCCAGAGTATCTCTCCATCAGGCTTCCGAAAGTGAACTTGGTCAGCGCCTGCCGAACATTTCTGCAAATCCTCATAGCATCCCAACTGTTCAATAAGGCGAAGGCCATTGGGAGCTAGGGCAATGCCAGCGCCAACAGCAGCGACGACATCTGGGTATGCTTCTAGAAGCAAAAAGTCAATGCCATGCTTCTCCAGCATAAGTGCCAGAGAAAGCCCGGCAACACCGCCTCCTGCGACAATAACTTTGCATGGTCTGAGAGCCATTGAATATATTCTACCTACCTCAGGAAACGGGTGGACGCCGCTGGATACGATCAACAAAGAATGAGAAAAGGGGCCTAACAGAAGCGAACAGCGGTTGGCTTTATAACGGCTATAGCTAACAAGCACCCCTGTCAAAGTATACGGCCGCACGCAGTAATTGGTAGGCTCGCCTATATCTAGTGGCGAAGCCGTCAAACTTGGTATGCTGTTCGTAACCCCATTAGTGCTTACATGGGGTCGCCTAATCCCTACCAAGTGGACTGATGTGAACAGTTATAGGCAGTGATTTGCGGAAAGAGGTAACAAAGAAAAGTCCATGGTTTCTACCGCAACGGTACTCACTACGTTACCTGCTACTCATGATGGAATTACCCATTCAATTGTTGTAAACGTGTTTGCCGAGGCGGCATATCCGGCTGGTGAAGTTTAATTCCAACAATAGACACAAGCTGGACGCCTCAACTCCACTGTGGAAAACGTCTCGCTACATTCCTGGGCGCCAAGCAAAACCTTGTCTGGCGAGTTACTTAATCTGGGCCGCCAAAGGGAATGACTCATCACATTGAATGTGCTAGGAATTGGGATGGAAACAAAGATTGAGTACTCTTGGCTGCTAATCTTCCAAACAGTCTTCTTCTGTTCTAAGATGCAGGGTGGTAGTTATATGTACTTCCCATCATCTCCGATATCCTAGCCCGCGTGTCCAACTCCGTCGGCGCCTGTTGCATTCTGTGCGGAACATGGTCCTCTTGTACAGGTCCTTTGTCCATATAGAAACCCTCTTGAGCGTTAACAGCAGCCGTAGACGCTGTTAATCTCCTGCTCCTCTCCCAGAGCGCCCACACGGCAGCCGACACGGCCAGTACTCCCAGTGGCACACCCACGCCAGCTCCCACAGCCGTCGCATTAGAGCTACAGTGCTTCTCACTGCTCGAACAAGTCGTTGACGTGGCTAGCACTGTCTCGGTGGAAACGGTGTTTGTCGAAGTGGAACTAGCATTACTAACTTCCGTGACATTCTCCAGCAGGGCCCGCCCGAGAATAATTTCCCCATTGTTTAAAGTAAACGCCGTGTCGCCATCCACGCACTCCGAAGACCCGTTGTTCTTGACCTGAAAGCCGCAGCAGTATTGTGAATCTCCGGAGCTGTCAGTTCCGATGCCGATAATGGGTGCGCCGCCGCTGGGGTTCTTATCCACTGTTGGGTACGCTTGTAAGTTGGTGCACGGTGAAAGATTTTAGGTGGTGGAGGAAGCGAGACGACTCACCGCATTGCGTCGGACAACCACTACCCCAGTTTTCGTCCGTACAGGAGCCCCGGTAGAAGACATATGGCTGGGCTCCGACTCCAACGCAGTAGCCATTGGACATGCAGATCGCATCGGAGTCGCAGCAATAGGTCGTATCAGCGGAGGTGCAGGGGACGTTTCCGGTGGCAATGGATTGGTCGGGGTGGTAGCATGTGCGGGCGGAGGAGAGAGAGATGAAGAGGGTAAATGTGAGGGCGAAGATGAACATGGTGAAAGTATTATCGTAGGGTGGTGGGATGTTATGTTTGTTCGAGTAGAATTTGTGGCATCTTGGGCAGGAGAGTGCACGACGCTGGATACGAGCGGCTGAATGAGTTGATAAATAACTTGCAAAAATCCTGCCTTGATTGTTGAGGGATCTAACTAGGCTTGGGGATAGTCTTCGTATTTCTTGGCTAGTCCGTTTGTTAGACAAGCGGGCTAAGAGGGCTCTATACTAAACCTCGTTGTCCCGCTGGACTAGTCACGGCTTAGAGAGGGTAATATGAGAATGCGCACCAGCAGCGCTCTTAATTTCTTGGATTGCGGAATAAATCGCACGTATTTTGAATATTTCATACAGCATTGGAGATTGTCTGAGTATCTTGACGAAGAGTCCTAAGACATTTCAGCGTTGCGCCCAGAATCTGATGGCAAGGCTTAAGCCAAACTACAGAGCTAGAAGCTTACTCTAATCGAAACTTGACAGTAGTTATCGCCAATAAGGTCGGATGACCCGAATCCTTCCACAACTTTCGCATTTTAGCGCGGTCTCGGCTCGAGAGTGGGGGCCTCGCAGAGTCATGGTGCGGGTTGCAGTGGCCACATACACATATCAGGCCTTCACGGGTCCACGCCGTGGTGCATGAAGAATCATTCGTGGTGCATTTGCCATAGCGCCCACACTCTGTTTTCGTAACTCTGGTTGATGCGAGTCCAACGATATATTCTAATGCTTGAAGAAGTTGTTTCCGGCGCAAGGTTCGAGAAGCATTGATAATGATTTAGATCAACTCGAACAACAGCTAGGGGATCGATTCATCATACTTGAGGCACTCGCTCGGTGGTCGTCCGAAAGAAGGTGTTTTCCAGGGGAAGATCCCGTAGATCGCTTGCTGCCAATCAGGTGATCCAGCCACGCACTGTACTATGAGGAGAATGGCCTCATTTCCCCTTTTCCGCTTGTTGGCCTTACTGTCTTCAGTCGGCCGTTGCGATCGAAGCCAGGCACGATATCTGTTTTGCGACTTCATAATATGTCCGAACGTTATGAGCTAGTGTTCTCCATTAACGCCTTTGCATTCTACCAACCATATTGGTGGAACTATTTGCGCCCGTTAATGCTGCACGATCGATATATGGTGTAAATCATCGCAACCGTGTACCACTCCCCTGGGTTCATAGTGTTGCACAATACCAACTCACTATTGATCTGAGGTTGCACAATTGATCCAACGGCGTCCAAAGATGAGGGATCGCGCTTTTATATTATTGCCTATAGCTCTCTGATAAAGAGAGATCGATAGTGAACAGAGAGGGCTGATCACCGAAACATGGAAATGAAAAGGAGATATTATGATTCTGATTATTGACGTCCGGTCTTCAATAAGGAGCAGCACACTGCATTAAGGAGAAGATAAGGCCAGTTCGAATGTGGACAGGGAATGCTGACAGGTCTACTGCAGGCCGAAGACGACAAATTAGGCAGATTCTGATGACTGCTCATGATCCCCCATGAAGTGGAGTGCGTTGATGACGGATAACGGCTACCAGAAATAAAGGAACTGTTGGAATAGTACGAGGCAAAAGATGCGTCTTATGTGCGGATTGAAACCCTGGGTGATGACTACGTGGTAAATTAAGGACCTTTAGCCGCAATACAGAGATTTTGAGGCGTGACCGTTACATACGCCTGATAGAACTCCAACACTAGGGAATAATGAGACGATGGAATCGGAGAATTAGCAGGCCATCAATTCGAGTGACGCTAACGCGCTTCACGATAGCAAGCGAAATTAATAGCTCGCTTATCCCGCCAAACAATGCCACATTTTCCTATAATCAGAGCCACAGCGCGGAGAAATCCAGAAAATTCTTTATCTTCAATTTACCAGCTGAAGAACCCGAAATTGAGTCTTGAACTGCATGAAAGTGGAGTAGTTCGGCCATATGAGGATGCATCGCATCTGGAAGTTGATACATCCGATCCGTGCGGTGCCTGGCAAACCTTATCAGCCACGCGAGATGGTGCTGTGCCACGGATACAATTGGCTTCGATACTGCCGGCTCTTGTCCAGGTTTTCGGCATCCTACGAAGCAAGGGCTGCAGCGCACAGACAAAGCTGCAACTACCGTACCTCGTTAGCCTGTCAGTCTATCACTTGGCAGGGGGTTCAACGGTGTCTCAAGTGACTGATACATGTCGAATCCGAGTCCAGAGGGTACCCCTCTTGGTTGCCTTGGAGTCCCTGCCCTCTCTGTTAGAGGGCGAACCGACGTACGGAGCAAACACCCCTTCGTGATCTTCACCAGCCCTGGGCTCGGTGTCTTCGAAAATGGACATACAGAGCCCCTGGCTGGCCTGTCATTGGCTCTGCCCTGGAACAGGATGTGATGTATAGACACCGAATGTGTAGCCCCATGCAGATCAGGATACATCCAACGTCCCTGGAGAACCAGCCCTTCTCCCTACCCAAAAATAGTCCTGTCAGAAAGTATTTATGAGTTCGTTGGTCTGCAGTTTGCCTCGATTCCAAATACCTACAGCCACGAACCATCCATCACCTGCAGTCTTTACCGGCCCATACTCTATCCTTGCCCATAATGTCGCTAGAACAAGTGTCAGGTGGAGGCACCGAGGGTGACTTTCAGCACCCAAACGAGAACTTACGTCGGTCGACCATCATTGCACTTTATTTTGCCTTTATTATGTCCACGGTTGCCGTGGCCCTACGCCTTCTCGCGAGAAAGATCACTGGGTCAAGGTTGTATCTGGATGACTATCTTATGATAATAGCTTTGGTATAGCCGTCGCTTGTATCCTTTCCGAAATTCACGCTAACTGGTCACTAAAATTAAGCTTTTCAAATATGGCTGTTCGATCGGTGTCACAATCCGTAAGTTATTATCACCCAAGATTGCCCACGATAAGTCTAACCGTTACAGTTTTATGGAACGGCCTTGGATGCCACATCACGATGATCCCGCAAAAGAACCTGACGGTTTACTTTCAAGTCCGTGTCTCCAGATCCTCATCCCATGGTTATCACTAACCACAAACAGATCGGATGGTCCAACTCCTTCGTTTACACACTCTGCGTCATGTTCATTAAATTGTCTATCCTGGCGGTCTATAAGCGACTATTCGCTGCTAGGAGCATGAAAATTGCTGCCAACATTGTTGCCGTGATTGTCGTCCTCTGGGCCGTGAGCATCAGCATTGGCGGTGTTCTGAACTGTGTTCCGGTTCAGAAATTCTGGGATCGCGCGGTCCCGGGACACTGCGTCAATACTGTGGCCTACTACTACGGCCAGCAGATTCCCAACATCCTCACAGATGTGGTTCTGCTCATCATGCCGCTGAAAAGCGTCTGGGAACTACCCATTTCCAAGACTCAACGGTTGTTGCTGTCGGGGGTGTTTCTGGTCGGAATACTGTATGGCCCCGATTTCAGAATCAGCAAAAGGATTGTCTCGTATTGACCTGATTTAGGACCCTGATTTTCGACATCTTGCGCCTGGTCGCGATGATTGAGCTGACGCAAGCCGGTCCAGATATTACCTGTGAGTACATGTTTTTTTTCTCCTCTGCCCTCACATACAAGGCGCTAATGATCCCTCATAGACAACCAAGTCCCAGTCGTCGTGTGGACATGCATGGAGGCAGCAGTGGGAATCACAGCGGCATGCATGTCTCATATCCGACCTCTTTTCAACCTCAAGCTCTGGTCTCGAATTCGCTACTCCGGCCAGGAACCTGGAAAGGGATCGACCAACTCGTCCGAAGAGGGTTTCTCTTCTTCCGACCGAACCCTCTTTGATCCATGCGGAACCCAGACTACCATCTCCGCTGGCCACGAAGTGCACGCTGAGCATGAGAAGCCATGAGGTGTTCCTACGACGGCTATCGAGCAGTATCAAAATCTAAGGTCTTATCATCATTCGTGGAGGATTTATATGTTGGTCATGTAATGCCTCGAATTCTTGACGCATCTTTTTCTGCATGTCTTATGTTACGATGAAGGAAGCTCTTAATATTCGTGAGATGTATATAGTTAGTGAATTATTAATGCACAATGTTATACCCTTATCTTCAAAAGTGCTTTGTTCGATGTGTGTTTAGTCTCTTTGACCTGGAGGAAACGTCAAGCAAATATATTTAGTATGGTTGTATTAAGTAGCTCCAGCCTAGAAGAATTGATAGTAATCGGTCTCCAAGAATTGCAAATCTCGCTCACTCCTGCCTCATGACCCCGAATTCCCCTTTCTCCAATGTTTCAAATCCCTCCCTTACTTGCAGTTAACCTTGGAAGTGAAGATCCCCCGCTTTAATTTCACCCGCATCACCCCCTAGCATGACCGACCACCTCAGACAGACAGACAGACAGACACCACCAGCCACCCTATCCCTCAATCATCCTGACAAGAGATAATTGTGGGGATCACCCTCCTCGGCATAAAACCGACCATCAGTAAACCAAGAATGTCTCAACGCGTCTGCAGCACTAACCCTCCTCTCAGGCTTCAACCTCAACATTTCCCTCACGAGGGCCATTCCATCTTCTTCCATCCTAGGCATCAGTGCCCACAAGTCCTGCTCCACATACAGGGGGAAATCCGCCCGATACTCAGGGAACCTAGACACACCAGGCCACGACGTCTCACATGGGGTTCCCATGACCTTAAAAATCTTCTGCAGTTGGTCCTCGTTATTTGATCCGGGGAACAATGACCGGCCCATAGACATCTCTGCGATGATACATCCAATGGACCATATGTCGATACTTGTGCTGTAGCTTCGACTCCCTAGTAACACGTCTGGCGCGCGGTACCACAGCGTAACTACTTCATTGGAGAAGGTGTTCACCGGGATACCGAATGCGCGGGCGAGACCGAAGTCTGCGAGTTTTAGTTGCCCCTTGTTGTTAACGAGAAGATTCTGGGGCTTGAGGTCGCGGTGGAGGATGCGGTTTTCGTGGCAGAAGGCGACGCCGCGGAGGAGTTGGAATGAGAAGGATTTGATGACGGAGGGTTTGAGCTGGCCGCCGTTGGTGTCCATGTAGCGTTTCAGATCTTTGTCCATGTATTCGAAGACGAGCATGAGCTTGTTCTCAGCATGGATGACATCGTGGAGGCGGAGGATGTTCTCGTGGTGGAGTTCTTTCATTAGGGAAATTTCGCGGATCGCCGTCGAGGGTGTGCCTTCTTCTGTGTCGAGGGCGATTTCTTTGAGTGCGACGAGCTCACCAGTTTTGGTATTGCGGCCTTTGAAGACCTACATGTTTCCGTGCTGTTAGGTGAGGAGGGAGTGGGAATTCATGATGGGGGGTGGGGGTACCGTGGCGTAGGTGCCTTCGCCGAGCTGGGGTGGTTAGCGGTTGTTCTGTATGGGGGCTGTTGCTGGGAGTGGGTGTGGCGCTTACCTTTTCCAGCTGTTGGAAGGAGTTGGGAGACGTTCGTGTCATGGTGGTGGTGAGGGTGTAGCTTTTGCAGCAGTAATGGGTGAGGATGGTGGTGGGTGAGTTTATCGGGAGAATGCAGTAGTTGAAGGATCGACTGCAGCGACCTGACTGTCAGGCACAAACCCCGCCAAGTTTCCCTGCTGATGACATCGCCTGTGCACTGAATGTCGTCTAGGTCGATAAGGTAACTATTGCTAATCCCCGGGCCATTAGGCCCGCGGGTGCGGAAGAGGATGGCTGCGGAATGACATTCATTGGTGGACGGGATCTGGTCGGAGGCCTTAGCTCAGGCTGGGGGTGGAGGGAAGTGCGTATGTCGTCTGACGAATCCGTAGAAGGCCAGAGTGGTGAAGCTGCGTTGTGTATACTAAGGTTTCTACAGCAGGAATATGTATGTATGGCGGCTTGGTTGATCTGATCGCGATATACTTTGGACCCCTTAGGCATCACCGAGATGTCAATCGCCGAATGGGGATGGACCTCGGTACTTCCATTTCGGGTATCGCCATGCCCCGATCCAAGGGACAGCTTCAAGGGCTATTCCACTCTTCTGTTCTTATTTTTGGGCGATGGCAAGCCAGTTGCATCATTCGGTCCCAGCAGCGAATGAAGATGGTCGTCCCCATGCGATCATCTGCATTGTCGGTGTGGAGTGACAATTGAAAGGGGCAGGAAGATCTGGAGGCTGAGAGGGCGAGTTGGAGTCGGTCTTCTGTCCGAGCGAGGAATCCCCGCATTTGGTCTCCATCTCCAGCTTCGCTCCTCGGCTGCTTCTTTTCTCCTTGTCTTCTTCCTGTCTTAACCTTTCTTCTTCTTCCCTCTTTATCTTCTCTTCAATCTACGGGTATTTACTTTGACTTCAATTGCCTCTCATCTGCTTCTAACCTCTCGACTCACCTCTTGCCTGTCTACAACCCCGCATTATGGTCAGCGCCGTTCGCGTCGCCCCTTCGGCTGCCAGCAGAGCTCGCAACCTGCTGCGTACCGTTCAATACACCCATCCTCCATCATGTCCTTGCCATTCTAATCCCAATCACCACCATCACCATCGCTCTCCCACACTAGGCGACCATGTGCGTCGTCATATGGCCACCCCGGTCGACCCCTCCCGTCAAAAGGAATATGCCTTTGAAATGGCTGCCTCCAGCATCCGATTCGGCCCTGGAGCCACGAAAGAAGTCGGAATGGACTTTGCCAACATGAAGGCAAAGCGTGTGTGCATTGTGACAGATGAGAATGTCGCCAAGCTGGATGCCATGAAACAGGCGGTGGAAGGTCTATCGCGTGAGGGGATTGAGTTCACCGTCTTTGACAAGGTCCGGATAGAACCCAAGGATAGCTCGTTCGTCACCCAGTCGCATCTTATATTTCAATGGCTAATGGCAGCAGTGTCAAGGAAGCAATTGCATTTGCCAAGCCTTACAACCCCGACGCTTTCCTCGCCGTAGGTGAGTATCTTCCCCCAAGTCATCCCTTGATCCGGCTAACGGCGCAGGCGGTGGATCGGTCATTGACACCGCCAAATTGATGAATCTCTACACCGTCTTTCCCGATGCCGATTTCCTCGACTTCGTCAATGCGCCACTGGGTAAAGGCTTGCCTGTTAACCGGCCGCTAAAGCCTCTGGTGGCTGTGCCGACTACAGCAGGTACCGGTTCGGAGACTACAGGTACTGCCATCTTTGACCTCGTGTCCAAGAAGGCTAAGACTGGTATTGCTCATCGCAACTTGAAGCCCACTCTGGGTATCTGTGACCCGCTCAACACACGGACCATGCCGTCGGCGGTCCATGCTTCCTCTGGTCTCGATGTGCTCTGTCACTCGCTAGAGTCATGGACGGCAATCCCATACAATGAACGGACACCTCGTCCGACTAATCCCATCAACCGCCCCGCGTATCAGGGTGCGAACCCTATCTCCGACATCTTCTCTCTGCAGGCGCTGAAGAGCACTGTCAAGTATCTTCCCCGGGCGGTTAAGGATCCCGATGACTTCGAGGCGCAGTCACAGATGCTTCTGGCCGCCACCCTGGCCGGCGTTGGGTTCGGAAATGCAGGCGTTCATCTTTGCCATGGCATGAGCTACCCTATCTCCAGTCAGAACCCGGGCTATAAGCATGCAGGCTATTCAGTGGACCATCCCATCATTCCCCACGGTGTGTCGGTGGCAGTGACCGCGCCGGCTGTTTTCCGCTTCACAGCTGCTTCCAATCCAGAACGGCATTTGGCAGCTGCGGAGGCGTTTGGAGTGGACATCTCGAATGTCAAACGGGAAAGCGCTGGTGAAGTCTTGGGTGAGGCGCTGGCCAACTTCCTGGTCCGGCTGGGTGATCAGCCCCGGGGCTTGAAGGATCTGGGCTTCAAATCCAGTGACATTGACTCCCTGGTGGAGGGCACGATTCCGCAGCAGCGAGTGCTGGCACTTGCACCGACGCTGAATAAGGAGTTGGAGGCAGAAAAGGCCGAGCTGCGGGGATTGCTCGAAGAGTCGCTGGAGTATTAGCTATAAGTGTGTACATAGCCAACTAGTCTGAAATTGCATGATGGTTTCATATCCCAGTGGCCAGGTGCCAAGTGCACTAACCCTGCAGCTTCCCTTGAGATTGTCAATCTTCAACTAACCAAGCCACTAGTCCAATCAGCCGACCTTGCCATGAAGTGTATCGCATCCCCGCATTCTCACCCGCATTCCTGCAACGATCCTCGCCCTTTCCTGCTTATATACCCAACCCCGTCTCCTTCTTTATTACCGTCTCTTTTGGCGCCCTCTCTCCCCTCATCACACCACCACCCTCATCATGAAACACCACAACTACTACCCATCCACCTGCCTTTCCATCCTCCCCTTCCTACTTCCACTCACCATGTCGCACCCCCAACAGAATCTCCTCGCCACCACAACCTCCAACACCAAAGCAGGCAATCCCGTCTTCCCCGGCTGGTACGCCGACCCCGAAGCACGCCTCTTCAACGCCCAGTACTGGATCTACCCAACCTACTCAGCCGACTACAGCGAACAAACCTTCTTCGATGCCTTCAGCTCCCCCGATCTACTCACTTGGACCAAGCACCCCACCATCCTAAACATCACTAATATCCCTTGGTCAACGAACCGTGCCGCTTGGGCCCCGTCCGTGGGCCGGAGACTCCGCTCCTCCGCCAACGCCGAAGAAGAATATGACTACTTCCTGTATTTCTCCGTTGGTGATGGAACTGGCATCGGTGTTGCGAAATCGACCACGGGGAAACCTGAGGGTCCCTATGAAGACGTCCTCGGTGAACCTCTAGTTAATGGCACAGTGTATGGGGCGGAGGCCATTGATGCCCAGATATTTCAAGATGATGATGGCCGGAATTGGTTGTATTTTGGGGGTTGGAGTCATGCAGTTGTTGTGGAATTGGGCGAGGATATGATTAGTCTGAAGGGGGATTATTTGGAGATTACCCCGGAGGGGTATGTGGAAGGCCCGTGGATGTTGAAGAGGAATGGGATTTATTATTATATGTTTTCGGTTGGGGGGTAAGTTTATCTCTGCAGATTTCTGTGTGTTTGAAGAAACAGGCACGGTTCTCGTGGAGATGCTAACACAGCTTGTGTGGGAACAGATGGGGCGATAATTCATACGGAGTCAGTTATGTCACGGCTGATTCGCCGACGGGGCCGTTCTCGAGTACACCAAAGAAGATTCTACAAGGGAATGATGCCGTTGGCACGAGTACTGGGCACAATAGTGTGTTTACGCCGGATGGACAAGATTACTATATTGTCTATCATCGTCGATATGTCAACGACACGGCCCGGGATCATCGCGTGACTTGTATAGATCGCATGTACTTCAATGAGGCTGGGGAAATCCTACCGGTGAATATCACTCTAGAGGGTGTTGAGGGGAGGACTTTATCGTAGTGGGTATATATACTGACCGGGGTATATATTCATATTAATAAGAAGGGGAAGTATTGTTGATAGGATAGAAAGCTGTTTCATGGCGAGAGAATGTATTTAGTTGAAGATGAAGATCTAAAGCTCACCTGAAGCAGACAAACATCCACCAATAACCTGGTGAAGGATTTTCAGAAGGAAAGCATCTGAAGCCTTGCGTTTCTCGAAATACAAATCGTCGCTATAACTGCACGGGAATCCCCTTTACTAATCTCTTTCTAACAGAATAGGTATGGGGTTCCTATACAGCTGAACAGTATAGGGATGCACCTTGAAAGTGACACCGCAAGATAACAGTTTGAGAGAGTGTAATGAAATATCGGGGTCAACTTCGTGGCTATCCAAGTCTCCGAGATCCTCGCAGGAGTGTTCAAGTCTGAGGATCAGAAGGAAAGCCGAGGACAGCAGATGACCTGGTGAAGTGCCTAGCCACGGTGAATGCCTCAACCTGGAGCCAGATGCTTCTCCACCTTCTCACCTATACCTGCCAAAATGCTGTGGAGCAGGGCAATCTCCGGTCATTCATTTGTGGTGCAACACAAGCCAATTGAACCAGCTGTGTGAGTGTACCTAACTCATGGCAGATAGTAATCATAAGTTGTGAAGCTGAATAGATCCCCAGGGAACACTCCGCATCTAGCTGCGCAACTTATCGGAAGGTACATGAACCCATAAAATTGCGGCAACCAGTATATAAGGCCAATGCATCCTACCCCGGGATAAATCTCTACCAAAAGCCATACTCAAGATCTTAGCTTTTCCTGAACCTACATCAGAATGTCAATGCCCAACCCCGAAATCAGATTCCCTCTCGAGGGAAACACAAGGATCGAGGGTGAGGTGAGCAGTGTGCTGGACAAAGCCAACATTCCCAACTTTATCTGGGGTCAAGGTGTTCATCTCATGATGGGCATCAAAGATAAATGGGATACACCAGGCTGGGTAGTCCCAGATAACCTCATTCAATTGGCCGCTCATGTCTTGAGTTGTTCCTTCCACACTGGAAAACCGTATTCCGAACGCGAGCCAGGAGAAAGGAAAACTCCGACGCCGGGCGAATACTGCTTCGAATATGGTGTGTTTAAGGTGCAAGAGATTCATCTTCACAAGAAGAGTAGCCGGTGCCCCAGTTTCCCGGACCCTCCCCTCGGTACACCTGGAAAGAACGATCAGTATTACATGCTCACCTCGGACAGACGACTACCGGTGGAGCATGTTCTCAAGGTGCGCGATATGCCGCCAGAGAACAGCTGGCCCGTAAAAATGCCAGTGCCAGCCAGGTACGTGGAGAGTCTCGTGATGTTCTGCGCATGGAATCTGTCCGTGGTCGATATTCCAGACCCGTGGTATGATATGATGGTTTACCTGGCAAGAGGTATGGGGCTGGATAGCACCAATTATTCATATGTCGAGCCGAAAGAGCTGCAACCTCCCTTCGATAAGTTTATGAAGATACTAGACCATGATGCTAGTAGACACGGCGAGGCTCTCAAAAGTGATCTCTGTCACCGCAAGTCTTATCGTTTCCTGTGCGAGATTCTCATGGCACTGAGGGAAATGAGGCAAGTGCAGCCAAACATGGACAAATCGCTCCGTTACTGGCCACCAATGGAACGGGGGCTAAGGGCCAAATGTCAGGCCATGAAATTGGACTATGAATATCTGCAGGAACCGGACGAAACGCTGATGCTCCATCATGACTTGGTCAGGGCTCTGGCTAGCAAGACTTGGAATTATTCCACAGTTGAGTGTGCGACCACGTAAGGCTCAGATGTTCATGAACACCATGCCATTGACTAGCTAGCATTCAGTCTAGTTAGTTCAGCTGTAATCGCTAAATAGCAATGACAAAATGACAATACAAGAGTATCTATTTCCCATAACCCCTATTTCCAAAGTAAACATTAACCTCAGAATAAACC